TTGCATTCTTCGGAAATGTTAACACAACATCTGTAACATTATGAAGAGCGTATGAGAAATCTGAGCTAATACCTTCAGGAGTGATGCAACCTCCATTTAGTGAACGAACGTCAATATGTTGAGCTGGAATCATGAATGGATCTTCCTTACTAAATAAACGTGGTATTGCTTTAACTGATTCTTCAATTAAACCGTATCCTGGTGTAATGCATTTATCCTCTAAAACTTCCATCTTTGTGCATGAAATAATAACATCATCAACTGTTGCGTCAGCAGATGTAGCGGCTAAGCTTGTAATTAATTTGGCAGAAAGTCCGATTTGTTGGAATTTGCGATCATATTTATAAACATGATTCATAATCTTTTCATAATTTTCATCAGTTATCTTTTCATAAACGTAATTTTGTAAATCAGCAACTCTTAACGGGTCAACCTGACAAAATACTAAAGTATCCCTGAAAACATAATATTTAAGAATGATTTCACCAAATGATTTAGGATAATCATCGAACGCCTGAAATGCTAACAAATCATTTACTGGAATAATCATATCAAAAGTGACATCAACTTCTTCATTTGCTTTCTTGAAAACTTCTGAAGGGTCAATATATTTACCACATACTGAGTTATCATATTTTTGAACGTTATTATATAACGAATGAACAAACTTTTTAACTTTCCTTTCTGATTTTGGTTTATATGTTGCAAATGCGAAAGATTCGCGGGCGCAATCCATCTGAAGATAACCAGCATCACCTCTTTCGGTTTCTACTTCTAATTGCTTAAAGCTTTGATTTGATGATTTATAACCAACGAATAAACGCATGCATTTAAAAGCGGCATCACATGTGAAAGCTTTATTTGAAACTAGAGTTGCTTTAACTTTGCGTTTAATATATGTGTCACCTAATTGGTTCACATCATGAGCCGGATTTGTAATTCTTAAATGAGTTTGTTTATCATCAAAATATGGAGCATCAGAGTCATAGCATGAACTTTCAAGTTCTCTATAATATCTTCTTCCATCATTCTTTGCGAATATTTCATTTATCTTTTCGAATGAATGAAATACATTTCCATTAATCGGTTTAGTGTTTGGCACTAAATAGTTAGTCGTCATTTATGATGAAATAAAAAATCAAAATTAAAAGATGAAAATGAATTTTTAATTTTAATGAAATAATCAACTATGGCTGCAGGATTCTTTAAGAAACTGTGGGATAAAGTAAAAAGAGGAGCGCATAAAGTTTGGGAAACAATGAAGAAAGGAGCAAATTGGATATTTAAGAATAAAGAAGCAATTAGTGACGTTGCTGAACAAATAGCACCTAATGTTCCAGTAAGGGAAGTATTAAATAAAGGAGATAAGGTTTATCGTCGACTACAACCGATACTAAGATAAAAATAATATTTATTTATTTTTCCACTATCTACCCCCTATTTTATTAAGTATTCCTTCAGCAATTCCACCAACTGCGTTACCTGCTTGTGCTCCCATCGCCGGATTACCTGCTTTAGCACCTAATACTCCTCCTATGATAGTTCCTGCCGTTTTCGCTACTGGTGCCAAAAAGTTTGCAACGGGTTTAATAATCTTTTGATGAACCCAACTTGCAGCTTTCTTAATTCCTTCCCATAATTTTTTAAAGAATCCTGCCGCCATCTCTGATTTAATATTAATTAAAAAATATATTTCATCACTTATATTCTAATTTTTTATTTAATGATAAATGAAACCGATTTTAAAAATAAATGAAACAGAGGAGGAAGAAATAAATGAAAGTGAAAATGTTCAACAAAAAATAAACGTTGTTAAACCAATTACTGAAATAAAAATTTTTTCATCTGTTGATGAATTTAATGACTATTATGCTAATAATAAAAAATTATTTGAAGAATTGACAACATGTAAATTGAATAAAATGTTTAAAGTTGAGGACAGAGTCCAAGACCCGGAGGGTCATGGATTCAAAATTTCAAAAATAAAAGGTGTTGTTAGTTTAAAATCTATTCCTCAATCAAGAATCACCTCATTAATGAAAATTGATGATTTAACAAAAAGAATAGAAATTATTGAAGAGCGAATAAATCAAATTATTGATTTCATAAATCATGACTCGTTGAGCCCGGGTCCTTAAAGCTCAAGGCACAAAGTGCCCAGGACTTAAAGTCCATCACTGAGTTCAAGGTTATATTCATCAAATATTTCATTATTAAATGCAACTTCTGCTAGTTTATTTATTTTTTCAATACGATCATTTGAAAGTCTATCGTTTAATTTTTTCTGAAGTTTTTCATTTTCTAGTTCTGAAACTTTATTTGGATGATATTTAAACCCGTTAAATTCTTTTTCCTCAGTTTTGATCATTAATTTACAAAGAACTTTTGTGGTTGGAATTCGTTTAAACCATTTATCATTAATATTTGTTATAAATTCAATATCTGGAATTAATTCCCAAATTTTTGCATTTTCAATTAATTTATTATCAAATGCAAAAGCAATAGGTTTAATATTAAACTTACCTTTATAATATATACTTTCTACATAATCATCGAAATAAACATCTACTTGTTTAACATTTTCAAGAATTGGTGAAAGAACATCCATTAATTGATTGACGGTTACGAATCTTGATCCACTCATTTTCATACGAATTAAAAAATAAATTATTCAAAAAATGTAAGACATGAATTTTTAAAGTTTATTTTTTTATTTTTTTATTTTTTTTTATTTCATTATGGTAGTGAATCTTTCATTCATGAATGATAATTATATCTAATTTCTTTTACTCTCTCGTATATACTAGATTTAAAGAATTCAGAACTTTTACCATAATCTCCTAAATGTTTTCTAATCCCTAACGTGTGCCAGTTATTATATGAAACTGTATAAACTTTATCTTTATCTTTACACCTTTCATCACTTCCAATATATTTATATCTCAGTTTTGATTTAGCATTTTCATATTCATTAGCGTTTAATAATTCGCAGTCTTCCTTTTTAAATTGATGTTTAAGATATTCAGGATTTAATACTCTACGTTTATATGCTCCTAACTTAGTTCTAAAGGTTTTTCTACAAAATTTAGGAATTCCATCCTCTTTAATGTCATCAATGATTTCCATTTCATTATTTTCAATTTCTTCTTCTCGTTTATGAGGTCTTTGATTATGACTCCATTGATTCCATGAAATTAAATATTCTTTATCATTATATTTATACCTCATTAGCTTATTTTGGCTTTCATATTCATTTAATAATTCACAATCTTCATTTTTAAATTGAAGTTTAACCCATTCAGGATTTAAACAATGTTTAATTAATCGCGGAATATCTGACATCATCTATATATAGCTTCTTTTATAAAAGATAAAAAAATAAATTATTTTAAAATTAATGTTAATTTTTTATCTTTTATAAATAAATATATTTTAATGCATCGTCTATATATAGATGAAACAAAAAAAGTCACTAAACCCGCACTCTTATACTACTATCAAAATTTGATTGTGAGATATTCGGCAAACTCATTCTTAACTATCATACAATACCAAACAACTGATTTATTTATATTTTCTCTTCAATTTATATCTTCTTACAATATATTTAAATAATATTTAATAATTCATCATATTATCATTTATTATGCAATCATACGTTACAATTTATTTATGGGAAGACCCTATATTCTTACAATTCTTTGTAATACCCTTTATTCGGTGAAATTTTGAGTGTTTAGTGGTGATAGAAACGCGACGTTTGAATGGAGAATCCAAATTCAGGTATATAATATTGTTCTTAATTTAAAACTAACAAATTCATACCTTTTTAAGTTCATTTCCAAAATATCTAAAAAATTGGATCGATCTGTGACAAGCAGTCCAGTGTTTCAAGGTCATTTATTATGTTTTTGGAATTTCTTCAAAATTATTGGTTAAATAAAATGCCATTGATCAATAATAAAAATAATTTAGTATATTTGACTGAAATTGATTGTTGTTTCATTGGCAGCATTTGGTCTTTGATTTTGAAACACTTTTGATTGTGTTTTGATTCCCATTGTTGAATCATGCAAGCCTTTGTCTGAGATATATCTCACGAATTCGTAGGAGACGATAGGAGAGTTTTGGTCTTTAAGATATACTCAATTTTTTTAAACTTAATATTTTAGTGAGTGTTGGAGTGTGTTCTGAATTTTTAATTTTTTGCCTCTTTTAAATTGAATGTAATTCAATTTTTGAGGCGACTCATTGAAAATTCATAATATATTTGAGTAGATATTGATTGATGTATTTACAAGCTTATAAGTACCACAAATGAAGTGTCTTGCTTATTTACTCAGCTTATCAAAAAATTGATTCTGATCAGTCTTAATGACTTATGCTTCATCTATAAGAATTATTGTATCCGATTCATTTTGAATTTGGGACTTCTGACAATTTTTAAATTGAGAAAAACAATGATTTTTCAGCTTCTCCTCTCATCTATTCGCAGTGAAACACTTTCTGATGTTCTAGGGGTTAACAATGGTATGCACGAGATAGAAATTACAGACAGAAACGAAATTGGTTGTGACGTTTTTGATACTTACAAAAATGTTAAAGTTAACATACATCCAGATGCAAATGACGTCAAAGGCAATTGTAAAAACAAAAACATTAATAAATTGGAAATAAATTGCAAGGGGCCCGATATTTGCAGCATTAAATTTATGTTATTGAATAATTCAAGCATTGATATTGTTGATTTTTCAAATACTCAATCTGGCATATACATTAATAAGAACGATTTTCTTAATGAATGCAATATGAATATTATATTATTGAATTCTTCAAAAATTCAAACAATATATTCAGAGAAATTTTCTCAATTCAGTAAATTTCATGAAATGTATTTAGAAAATGAAGCTCAAATCCATAATTTGGAAAAACAACTTTTATCATCATATGGGAGCAAAGATATTGCTGTAATAGGTAAAGTAAAGGCCTATATTTTCAATATGTCTTATCTTCCAAAGTTTTCAAAATTGGATTCAATTGCAATTTACTCTAATTCAGATATTTCGGATTTATTAAACTTCAAAGGTTTCCAAGCTAAAGATATTTTCATTAGCACAAGTAGTCCATTAACAATACATAATGGAACATTCAATAATATGAAGAAACTCAATTCTTTAATTATCAAATCCAACAAAATTGTTTTCAAAGAGGGATCAGTTGTTAATTGTAAGGAACTTGTTACATTTGATCCAAGTTCAGATGACGCTGTTGTTTTTGAAGCAAATTCAATTAAAAATATAGGAATATTAGAGTTCAAAATTCAACCAAATTTTCAACTTGAAATTGGGAGCTTTTCTAAATGTTCGGAACTGGAAAATATCACTTTAGCTCGTGGAGTTACAACTTTCTCTGGTGGGTATTTTCTTGATTGCGAAAAGATGAGAAATGTAAAAACCTGATATAAAGAAAGTGACAATTGTTTGTTTTATAATGATGGTTCGTATTTGTTTAAAAGAATACAATCATTATCATCATCATCAAATTTATTAGAAATTAATAATTCGTCTGAATTGATATTTGTAGAATCCAAAAGAAAACTAGTTCATGTCCGAACACCATTTGATCCGTATTCTTTTATAAGATTGGATAGTTTCACATTACAATTTACTTATGATGTTCCATGGGAAAAATTAAATGTAGTTTGTCAAATTGCGGATTTGAGGTATATTGCTGGAAATAATCTTTCAACAAATAATTCTCAATTCAATTGCAAGAGAAAAGGATGCGATGTTAATTGCAATAGAATTGAAGAGCATGATCCACTTAGTACACCAATTCCAACAATTGATGCAAAGTTGAAAGATTCGGTTTATGTTAATGAAGGTAACAAGAAAATGAAATATTCTCAATCTGATATTATGACACAAATTTTCACAGCAACGTTAACTCAGAAAGAAGTTGTTGTTCTTACAGAAACTATAGAAAATGGCACAGTAACAGATACAGAAAGTACTTCATATATTTTAGTAAATACTTATGTGAACATAGATGTTGTTGCTCAAACATTAGTTTTGATTGAGCTCATAGATACAGATGATACAACAAAAAGCAATATGAGCCCTGGACAATTACTTGTTTTGTTATGCGGAGTTTGTGTTATAGCGTTTATAGTTGCTTTTCTTGGTCTATTCCTCTATAGAAGATCTCGCGATAAGTCTGATTTTGAAGAAGGTAGTTCTGAATATGAAATGGAAGATGATATAGGACATGTAATTTATTCTGATGAAGAAAGAATAATAAGTGACGGAGATATCAACACAGGTGCGTTATAGAAGAAAATATATATCTGAAATATCTTTTGTTTTAATACAGATTTTTGTAAGTAATAAATTTTGTTTTTGTTTAAAATATAACAAAGTCAAACTGAAGAAATCACTTAACAATATGAATATTTAAAAACGTGTCGATGGACTTAAAGTTAATGTGAGTTTATATCGAAAGGCCATTCTTCATATTATGTTAATTGCCATCATCATGTATACTTACAGTATTTTTATCTGTCTTTGATGTGTATATAGTAATGAACTTGACTATCATTAATTCATCAATAAATTGTGTTATCCTATGAACTTGTTATAAATAATCACTTTTGGAATGAAATCAGATATGCATAACGATCTTTTAATTAATAAAAAAACAGACTTTTTCCATAATAAATATTAGATTTTTTTTTCTTCTATAACACATTAATTCTCTCAATTTCTTCATCACTAATTATTCTTTCATCGTCAGAATAAATTACATGCCCAATATCATCTTCCATTTCCATCTCATTTTCTGAATATTCTTCTTCAGAATCTGATTTATCATGAGATCTTCTATAGAGGAAAAGTCCAAGAAATGCAACTAAAAATGCAATAACGCATTCTCCACAAATTAAAGCAAGTAATTGTCCATTGCTAATCTGGCTTTTTGTAGTATCGCCATTTTCTTTGAATTCAATCAATATCAAAGTTTGAGCAACAACTTCTACGTTCATATAAGTGCCCTCTATTATATATGAAGTACTTTCTGTATTTATTATTGATCCATTTTCATCTAGTGTTTCCGAAGCAACAACAATGGCTTTTTGTGTTAATGTTTCTGTAAAAATTTGTGTGATAATACTCGATTCTGAGTATTTTATTTTTTTATTGTCAGATTCAACTGCTGAATCTTTTAGCTTGATATCAATAGTTGGCATTGGAGTGCTAACTTCTTCATGCATTTCAATCTTATCACAATATACATAGCAACCTTTTTCATTACATTTGAATTGGTTTCTGTTTGGTGGTGTAAGATTTTTTCCAAAAATATATCTCAAATCAGAAACTTTGCAAACTTCTTTCAGTTTATCCCATGGAACATCATAATAGAACTTTAATGAGTATGAATCCAGACTTGTGAAAGAATACAAATCAAATGGATTTTTGACATAGGCTACTTTCGTCCCTCTGTTTACAAATAACAATTCAGAAGAATTAACTATTTCCAATAAATTTGATGTATTAATTTTCTTCAGCAAATATGATTTATCTTGATAAATCATACAATCATCTCCTTTGCATAATGTTTTAACAGTTTTGAGACGACGACAATTGATAAAATACCCTGCTGTAAAAGCTACTGTTCCTTCAGCTAATTCGATTTGCTCCAATCTAGAACAATCACTGAAACTTCCAATATTTAAATAATAATTTGATTCAATCAAAAACTTTTCAATTCGAATATTTTTGATTGCATTAGCGTTAAAATCAACAATTTCATCAGCCTTAGGTTTAAAATCAACAAGTCTTTTACAATTAACAATTGAACCCTCTTCAAAAACAAGGCTGTTTGATTGGATATATAATTTTTTGAGATTTTCCATGTCAGGAAAAGATCCTTTCCGAATTATTAACTGACTATTCGTTGTAATTGAAATTTCTTCAGCATTGAAACTTTTGAAGTTTAAATAATCCGAAATTTCCATATCACTATTAATGATAATTTTTTCATATGATACAATCTTTGGAAGTTGATACATATTGAAAACATAAGCATTTTTATTATCAATTGAAATAATTTCTTTGTTATAATACGTTGAAAGGATATTTTTATTAGTAATTGGAACTTGTTCGATATTATTTAAATATAACTCATGGAATGTATTGAATTGAGAAAATATTTCTGATGAAAACTTCTGAACTTTTGAAGAATTTAATAAAAGATTATTAACGTTGCAGTTCCTGAGAAAGCGTGGATTTTTAATAGATATATAATTCCTAGTGTCCGAAAAATCAATAGTTTTAATGCTTGAATCAGAAAAGAGTGTATAATCAATTTCGCATTTTGAATTTCTAGTCACGCAATTTATTACCAACTTATCGATATTTAATTTTGTGCATGCACCGTTGACTAATTTACCACTTGAATAAACGTTAACTCCGATATTTTTATATCTTCTTAATGTCTTACAATTTATATTGTATCGACCTTTAATATTGATAGTATATATATTATTTTTATTAGATTGAGAATTCGCAAGTGTTTCGCTACGAATCAATGAAAGGAAAAGCTGGAAAATCATTGTTTTTATTGATTTTAAAAATTGAAATGGTTCTCAAAAATGAATGAATCGTATATGATGATTTTTATAGAATTGCCACAAATAATTAGGTAGTTGTCATAAAATTTTTGATAGTTTGGCAAAAATGAAAAGTGTTATACTTGTTCTTTGAGCTTATAATTTCATTTAATGGAAATTGAGAGAAATGGGGTTTGAAACGTATTCTCTCAAAATATTTATGCGGTTCAATTTCATTATTTAAGTTCATTACCGGATAAACATCAAAACCAGGCGATGTTAGTGTTTACTTTGTTGATGAATGCATAAACTGCATGATTTTAAACTAAGGATCACACTTTTGAGAGTTTTACATGACATTTGCCGGCAAATGCCATGTAAAGTTGTCTCAAATATTTTTGGGTAAATACACCGGCAACCCCTGGGAAATAATTGAGAAGATATTACATGGCATTTGCCGGCAAATGCCATGTAAAACTCTCAAAAGTTATAACATGGGGCTGGGTGAAAAATCACGTTATAAGAAAATTTACACTTTTCCGAGGTTTTGTCAGGGGCGTGAAGCGACCCAAAAATGTCGGAAAAGTGTAATTCTCATGTATATGATTATTTTTGCTTTTAATGCCGAACAGCATTTGAATCAAAAATAATCGTATGTCTGAGAATTTAAATTTTTTTTCTTGAAATTTGAAACGGTGATGAAAATGGACAGAATTAACCAATCATGGAAAAAAATATATCGAAGATTAATCCAAATTTCTTAATTTAAACATATTTGCTAATAATTTTAAAAAAAAGATAAGTAAGATAAATTAACACATTTTATTCTGAGTTTAGAAACCGTAGAGTGTCTTACCCTGACGCTTGAGAGCATAGACGACATCCATTGCTGTAACTGTTTTACGACGTGCGTGTTCTGTGTATGTAACAGAGTCACGAATGACATTCTCAAGGAAGTGACGAAGGACGCCACGAACTTCTTCGTAGATATCACCAGAGATACGCTTGACACCACCACGACGTGCAAGACGACGGATAGCTGGCTTTGTGATACCCTGGATGTTCTCACGCATTACTTTACGATGGCGTTTAGCACCACCCTTACCGAGACCCTTACCACCTTTACCGCGGCCAGACATTATAACTAATGAAATCAAAACATCTTCTCAATTCCTACCGCCAAAAAATACGCTTGCCATGTTCTGCTATATTATTTTGAATACTTTGACTTTTATATTTATTGAATATTTATTGGATTATTTTGGCAGAAATAAATTTGAGAGAAAATGGCGGGAAAAGTTTTTACTTCATTATTTCTAATGGCTCGTACAAAGCAGACAGCTAGAAAGTCTACAGGTGGCAAGACCCCACGTAAATCTCTCGGTGCCAAGGCCGCCCGCAAGTCAACACCAACAATTGACTCCCAGGGTGCTAAGAAGCAACATCGTTTCCGCCCAGGTACAGTCGCTCTTCGTGAAATCCGTAAGTACCAGAAGTCAACAGATCTCCTTATCCGTAAGCTTCCATTCCAGCGTCTCGTCAGAGAAATCGCTTCTGGATTCCGTGGTGATCTTCGTTTCCAGTCATCAGCTATCGCTGCCCTCCAGGAAGCTTCTGAAGCTTACCTCGTTGGTCTCTTCGAAGATACAAACCTTTGCGCTATCCATGCTAACAGAGTTACAATCATGGAACGTGATGTCCAACTCGCTCAGCGTATCCGCGGAGAACGTAACTAAATATAAAAATTGTTTCTTATTATGTTTAATTTTTTTAATATTTAATTTATTTGATAAATGATGTATTTGTTTTCTCATAAGAGATAAGACATTCCTATTCATAAGAGATCATATGTGCTTTGGGTTGTTTATTTACAATATAAAAATTCATATATTCTATTATAAAAGTCCAATTTCTCTGAGGTTTTAGGGGAAAAAACATTTATTTTTCAATTTTAAGTTTACCTTTTGCTTATATGATAGTATGACACCTCAATTCTCTTATTAATCCTCCAGCATTGTTGGATTTTATTCAATTCTATGGATTTCTGACATTTTTGTCAAAAAATTGACAAAAAAATTTGAAATGAATGAGCTTTCTCCTATGATGCATTACCATCTTGTAGGTTCGGGACTATTTCCTGATAATTCCGCGAAGTTTGTTTTGTCAGTGTTCCCAGCAGATTCATGTTTTAACGAAATAAAGAAAATTACTACAGTCGTTGAACTTAATACAACCGATAAAAATTCACTAAAATGGCTTATACATTGTGCTGCATTTGTTATACACTACGGAATGCACTGTAAAACGAACGAAGAACATATTGTCCAACCTTTGATGCTTTATATGATTGAATTTTTGTCTACAAACTGTATTAAACAAAATGTTACAGCAAATATGGATATAAAAGACTTTAATGCAATGACAAGAGAAATATTACCAATTCTTTCAATGGTTTGTGAACCAAATGCACCAAAAGTAGCAAGAGATAGTTTTAGAGAGCTCATCAATACAATTATCAATAGTAAATTTGCAGATTACGAGACAGAAACCATAGAATTGTTATTTAGAATGTTACTAGGTATCTGTGACTCATTTATAACTGATCTTTATTCATACAAGCACTGGGATAATGAAATAGATCAATTCTTAGAGAACTTATTTGAAATTTTAATGCGAACCACGAAAATTTGTCCAAATAACTGGAAGATTTTCAATGAAGTCACCTGTAAATGGCCTAACAATTCGAAATTCCAGGCTCTCTGGTCTAGATCTTTCATGGTTTGCTTCCAAGTTTTAGCTCAATCTCTTTGGACGAAAAATTTCATATTGGTTCAGATACAACCTGAATCACTTGGTATAGATCTTGATAGCGCAACCGAAATATTGATATATTTCATTGATAATGCAAGATATTTAGCAACATCTCCAAATTTCGGAATTGTCCATAACGAATTCGGGTTTATCGCAGATTGTATCAGCCAAAACAAAGAAAATATCATAGGTCTTTTCAATAAAAAGTGGTTTGTTGACGAGATATTTGAGATATTTTCTTTATGGCCTTTGGCTCAAGGTCCATCGAAGCATTTTTCCAATGAGGATAAGCGAAAGACCTCTCTTTTTGCATTCGTGATGCTTCTTGAAAACGGAATTATTAAAAATCAGTCTAACTGGTTCCAGGATACAATTACTTACTTCAAGAGAGAACTTATAGCCCAGGACTCTTCAATTGCTCCTGTTTTGTTGACGAAATTATCATCTTTGTTAGTTTCTCATCAAAATTTAACTCGAGAACTAATAACTCCTATTATGAAGTGTTTGTTGAGACAAACATCTGATGAAACGAAGAATTTGTCCATAAATATTAACGATCCTTTGATAGAAAACCTCATATTGAATATTGCAGAGATTTATATCCATAATACGAACCAATGCGGTACAATAAACAACATAAAGAAACTCCAGAAGCGCATGTACAGCAAGAAAGTCGATATTCATAGTAATGATTCCGATACTTGGCAAAATCAGATGTTAATTTTGATGCTTTCCGGTTGCCATAAGGCCTTTGCATCATATGTATTAAGATTGTTGGACGAAAATACTGATCTTCCACCTGAATTCTTTACATTCCTCAGTTTCGTACCCGTTCTGATGCCAACCTTCCTTAAACATGGTGCCGATAAGAAAGGAACCGATTTTGAATTGAATTTCGTAAGCAAAAAGAATGTTTACTTCATTATTAAGGATTTTAAGAGTTTCCATGCTTTCGCGATATGCATGCAGGCTTTGTACTTGGAAGGATCTCGATTTAGACCACTTTCCCAGGAGAAAACAGCCTTTAACAAGATGCTTCGTGAAAATAATTTGACTGATCTCATAACTTTCCTCGAATTCAGTGGATATCCTCACTCCAATTCGATGGATGTTGAAACTGCTAAGGCGATTTACCAGGAAAATAAGGAATTCGCCAAAAGTTTCTTCATAGGAAATTCGGTTTTAACGATAATTGACAATCCTAAGTTCCAAAACTTGATAATGACCATAAGAAGTCAGTACGGAGTCCTCAATATTGAGATCAGTGATATGACAATGCAAGAAAATGTACAATCAATTCCTGTATTGAACGATACACCACAAACGGTCGGCCATGACATGAATTACTCGGCAGATGGAACATTCCTCGACTCCGAAATGCTCCAAAAGTTCAATGATTTGGATAAAATTAACGTTCCGATTTCATTTAAGCCATATTCATCGCCAGGATTCAAATCTAATCGTATATTCTCGTGTTTGGCGAACCTCGGCGTTATTTCTACCGATAACCTCCATAAGATTTTCCCAATAACAAACGCCGACGTTTTTATTTCCGAGTACGATCAGATTTCTCCTTATGAAACCATCGAAGTAGCTGTTCTATGCTACACAAAGGACTCAATGTCCGGTTACGGATCGGAATTTGGCACAAATGATTTTATATCTTTCTTGAATGAACTCGGAGAGCCACAGAACTACGAAAGCGATACTTGTGGTTCAGTTCATGCCAGAATCTATACATATTGCAGCATAAGAGTTGTTTACATCGCATTATGTTGCATGAAAGAGCCAAATATCGACAAACTTCTCAGTCTTCCTGTTGTTTTGGCATACAACGAAACTGGATTCTCTCCAAACTACGAGTTGTTCGAGAAAACTCTACCTTCTAAGCTAGTTTTCGCTGTCAGAACAATTAAAGAAGAAGGACAACCGGAAAACGGCGCATTTGCAGTTCTTTTAATCTGCAAACCGAAGGGAATTGTTCTTCCTTTCATGCTAAAGATTGCCCGATTCGTCAGCAAAAGAAACTTCAAAGCAATGATCGCCATGATTTCAATTATTTACCATTTGACGCAGAACAGCAACGATGTTTGGGAGAAGAGATTGAAATTGTTTGGAGACATTGTTTATCAAGATGATATATCTCTGCTGACATTTCAGTTTGATAATTAGTTATTTATTTTTGTTTGTTTTTTTATAAATTAAAAGAATTTTGTTTTATTTCTATATGCATAAAGAATTTCAGCTGTTTTGTCTGTTGAGATTCTTACAACTCTTAAGATGTTTATCGCGAGTTTGAAATTAAGATGGTATCCGTTTCAATTCCCTAGAAGTGCTAGTTCCCCTTCATTTCCTGGAATTGTTTTAAAAAAAATAAATGTTTGTTTGTAATTTCAGGATGATATTTTTATTCATAAAATTATCTTCCTGAGAATTGATTTGTAATTTAATGATACTTTTTTCCCCTATGATACAAATGATAATTTCATGAATAAAGGTAAATAATGCATATATTCACCATTCTCCATCTTTTCACTGATTCAAAATCTAAAAAAGATTTCGGTCGCAAATTAATTTGATTTACTTGAGTTAGTAACAGCCTTAAGTGATACTTTATCGATTTCGACATCATTTGATTTGAATTATTTAATTTTAACATAAGTTATTGAAATCAACCTACAAAAGTCTTTTTTTTGCACCATATGCAAATTACTGCATAACGAAGAGCAATTCTTTCGTTTATATCTTTTTCATTGATATTTGCACCATGTGAAATAAGAAGTTCGGCTATTTCTTTACCACTATACTATGCTGCAGTGTGAAGAGCAGTTTTCCCATCTTTATCTTTTTCATTGATGTTTGCACCATGTGAAATAAGAAGTTCTGCTATTTCTTTATGATTTAGTTTTACTACATCATAAAGAACAGTTAAACCGTATTTATATTTTTCATTGATATTTGCACCGTTTGAAACAAGAAGTTCAACAACTTCTTATCTATTATTGAGTGCAGAAATACGAAGAGCGTTATTTCCATTTTAATCTTTCTCATTAATGTTTGAAACGTGTGAAAGAGGTAGTTCGATGATTTCTGTTGCATAAAGCAGAGCTGTTTTTCTATAATCATCCTTTTTATTGACATTTGCTCCATGTAAAAGAAAATATTTTGATAATCTTGAAAATAGAGTTTAATTCTTCTTCATTTTTGGTTTTATGCTGATACAATGCAATATATAAATCTATATGGTATTTATAAAAACTTCTCAATTCACTGTATTTATATAGATGAATGTCTTGATCAGACATTAAATTATTTAAAAGTCGTACATAAAACATTTTTATCAGGCGGGAAATGTGATTCTCAAGCTTATGATTATTTTTGTTTTTACTGCCGAATAATATGCATAAGAATTTCATTTTATCATATGATTTATCATAAAAATTCATTTGGACTATTATCATTACAACACTATCATGTAGACTGTGCTGCCTTGTAGTTTTTGTGTTGTTTAACCTCTTCAGCATATTAATTTTGGAGTCATTCAATTAGAATTTAATCAAATAAAATTCTTTCATGAATTTGAAAATTCAATCAAAAACTGATAATTAGACTTAAATTATGAATAAAAAAATATTTTAATACAATTTTTATAGAAATTCATACATAATTAAGGGTGCGCCCGGGAGTATCATGTAAACTTCAGAATTTAGAACCTTAATTTTTAAGCAATAACTTGGTACCTAAATAGGTAGGAAAACTCTAAAAATATCAAAAAATACAACTTGGCTCCATAATAATCCTGTCATGGTGGCAGTTTGTATTCCCTAGTATTTTCCTCTTGAATCTCTTTTTCTGTCGAAATTAAATTCAAATCTCAGAAGTAGAAGTGAATAATCGACTTATTACTGCTATTATACGAATAAATAAACTCATTATATTATTTTTATTTACATAATATCTGTTTGAAGTCCATAATTCTATAAATTTTTCTTCAAAAACATTACAATCTTGATAGTTTTGATACTGTTTAATAGGTTTTTGGCACCTTATTTAGTATTTACTACGTATAGAGTCGATCTGAACTTAATTTTCGGAAATTTAAAATATTTATTAGAAGTAAAATCTGATTTGAAATTTATGTTTAACTACTCATATCTTGCATTATCCTGAGTAGCTTTTGTAAAAATTCATCAAAAAAGATTTTAACGTGCTTTAATTTTTATTTTTAAAAATAATGCATATTATTATATAACTAGCATATTTACAAATTTTAGTGCTTTCAAAAATTTAATCCTCCTCTTCTCAAATAAACGTACATCCGGGTGGCCTGTTTTTTGCAAAAAATAAAATTTCATTTTTTATGCTTAAAAAGTCAGAATTTTTATTTGCTTCTGGGATATATGATGGCTATATCAGATGCCCATTCTTTTTGATACTCAACATTAAACATAAAACTTAGCCGTTAAGGCTCTTCTGAAAATATTTTTTTTCCGAAAAATTTTCGAAAAAAATCAAAAAATTTAAAAATCCCCGAATCTGCAGGGATTTTAAAAAATTCTTTTTAGTAAAACTTAAGGATATTGTATCAGATATATTGGTATGGGCAAATTCAATTTTAATCCAATATTCATCGAGATATTAAGTTAACGAAGCATTCAAAATTGAGAGGGTAATCCTCCTCCTCTCAAATAAACGTACATGCGGGTGCACCCTTAATTATAAGCAAAATCATCAAAATCTTCTGGCTCAAATAAATCGTCAGTATCAATCAGATTTGTTTGACTACCGTATTTGAAATGGACATCACTGAAGAAAGGATGATTGTTAGCATCTTCCAATGAAATACGATCTTTAGGATTAAATTGAAGTAATTTGCAAAGTAAATCGTTCAAATCATTGAAATCTTGTATATTTTGATCATATTCTGGGAAATCTAGATTGGATCGTGTTGCAATTACAAGATCATGAAAATATTTTCTGTTGTTTTTTTTAATTTCAGTGTAGCCTTTAGAAGGAAATGGAGGCGTACCGTAGGCAATTGTATATAAAACAACTCCAAACGAGTAATTATCAGTTAAATTAGTATCTATGTGTTAGTATTGTTTTTTTAAAAAAGTGTCAATTTAAATAAAAATTGACACCAAAAGTATACATACAGCCTAGATCTAAAAGTTTCTCTGGTGAATCATAGGATATAGTTCCTTGATTGTCTCTATAAATTATAATATTATAATTATTTTTCGGATCTCTAATTTGTTTTGTGTACCCGAAATCGCATAATGCGGCAACTAGAGATCCATTCTCTCGTTTTATAAGTATGTTCTCCATTTTTAGATCGTTATGAAAGAAATTCAAACTGTTCATGTAAATTAAGGCTTCTAAAATCTGCTTGCATATGCATTTTACATCTTTAATTTGTATTATACAATTCGGTTGATCTAATATGTAATAAAAGAGATCTTTCAGAGGATAATATGGCATAATTAAAAAGACGCTTTCTATTTCTCCATTAGATTCATTCTTTGACTCAACTTTTTTTACTAATGGAACTATGTATTGATGATTGAACATTTTTTGTATTTCGGCTTCTCTACGAATATCTTCAAGGTTTGAACACCCTGGATTTACTGCAATCCATTTTACGCACATTTTGTTTGCGAAGTATTTGTGAGATAGAACAAATGCCTTACCGGTGGCTCCTGAACTAAATGTTAAACTAGTTTGAGGTAAGTTTTTTAATGTTTCATTTAAATCATATTCTTCATTTTCATAGCTGTTAAATTCTACGCGTTTGAACTGGGGACCATCGTAATTTTCAGCCATTCTTTCTAATATGATAATGGAATTTTTGCTAAATTGTTTATCGTTCTTAATAAAACTAATTATCTAATAGTCAGGATGATTTGTAATAAATCATTTTAATTTTTTTCTTCAGAAAAATAGAAGTTGACACCGATCAAGTTTTGATGCAGAAACGATAAGTTTTCCAGAAAATATCTTGACTTTCATAGTTTAGTGTAATATTTTTCATTGAACTGGGGATAAGCATTTTGTTCAAAGTGAAATAAAACAAATTTTTGACTAAAATTCAATTCATTTATCTCGAGATATGAGCTTTCCTGATAGTGTCCAATGTCCAATAACAATGAACAACCAGAAAATAGTCTATCGTAATCAAAATAAAGATGCTTTTCTTGATTTTATTCGCAAGGAATTAGATGATTTCAGACAAAATATAAAAATTCACAAATTTTACGCAATTCACACTGATCGATCATTAACAAAGTTTGGTTTTGATAATCTTTATGTTATTGAAATCGCACCATGCTTAAGAAGATATCAAAACATCTTTAGATATCAAATTGATACAGCACAAAAACAATTGTTGAACCTTGAAGAAGGTTATATCATTATTGATCCTGACAATGATATTATTAATGCCCTTAATGAATTATTCAAACCTAAACGTATTCATCCTATTTTGTTTGATTTGGTTCGATAGCATTCAGCATTAGCCTCAATTGGAATTAATTTTAAAGAAAAATTGGAGCATCTTTCTTTTCAAACCTCACTTTGGAAGATGCTATTAGTAATAATTTGTTTAAATGCCTTGAGAATATAGATGCTATCAAAGATATTCCAAAATATGACTTGGCAAAATTAATTTACGAATGCCAAGAGAAGAGCGAACAAGAAATCATGGATACATACATAGAACTTATTCCATACTACGCCACTCGTACTGCCATTGTTGTTCTCTCACTCTTCCATGAAATTTTCGATTTGGTTGACTACTCAAGATCTCATGACCAATTAGAGTTTAAGGTCGATTTATACATGGAGAAAAATTCTGTGTTAAACGGCAACGGAGCTCTCCTATTCAAAGAACTCGGTTCTGAAAGGAACATATATCTTGAAAATCCAAAGGAACATCCGTATGATTCCTGGCTTTACATTAACGATCTGACCAAACAGTTCGATGATATTTCGAAAGTCAAACCTGATTTCAAATATTCAATTCAAGATCTTCAGAATTTTAATCAGATCTGCCTTGCAGAGATTACATCTATCACAGCTAGTACACCCATCTCTCCACTTTCACGACAGTTGGATTTATATAAGATTACTGGTCAACTACGTGAAGCTTTTGAAGATATATATAATGGAGAAGATAAGGCGAATATTCCGCAAGGAAAAGAACTCGAATATCTAATAGAAAAAGAAAATAATCCATTATTAATGATAAGTATCGAATCTATCTCTAAAATCCCAAATAAAAAAGTGAGAGATGAATACTTCCAAAAGGTTTATGACTCTTTATAGTAAAATGAAATGATATTTTAAATTATTATTTTTTAAATTAAAAATGTACAGTATATGTTGTTGAGATAGTTAATAAGACATAGAATTGTTCTAGATGATTTATATATATATATTTCGAGATGAAATTGGATTTTGGAATTTATCTGTAGACCTAACATATATATCTTGGTCAAGTCATAAAAATTTAATGTGTATAGTATTTATAGGGGAAAAAACTATGATATCTTCAATTTTGTTTAATTTTTATAATGAAGTATTTTTTCCAATGTTTTGATTGCACTTAGTATTTTTGACACAAGTAGATATTAAAAATGAACTTTTTGGTAAATAGAAGTTTTGGATAGAGAAAGAGAATCAATTGAATGGAATAGAGCAGTTTGACCTCGAGATTGGGACAAAGTTGCAATTCGGCACTTTTTGTCAAAAAAATGGGGTCATCCTCATCATGAATAGAGACTTATAGCCAAGTCTTGATATCATGCAGGGAGAATATACATAGATAAGCAATTATATTTTATAGTAGTAGTATTCAGAAATTCTTACAATTTACAATACAATTTTCAAAAATGGATAAAGACTAATAGCCAAGTCTTGATATCATGCAGGGAGAATATACATAGATAAGCAATTATATTTTATAGTAGTAGTATTCAGAAATTCTTACAATTTACAATACAATTTTCAAAAATGGATAAAGACTAATAGCCAAGTCTTGATATCATGCAGGGAGAATATACATAGATAAGCAATTATATTTTATAGTAGTAGTATTCAGAAATTCTTACAATTTACAATACAATTTTCAAAAATGGATAAAGACTTATAGCCAAGTCTTGATATCATGCAGGGAGACTCTCTACAAATACAAAAATTGATTATCATAAGGAAATACAAATTTATCAATTTTCATGTGAAAATTACATAAATTTGTTCTCCAATAAATAGCAATAATACTTTGAATGTTATATTAAGTAATATAGCTTCGGGTAAATAAGCTTACACTTCAAAAATATACTGTTTATTCATTAATTTTAAAAAAAGTCCAAATTATCTAATCTTGCTTACTCTTCCTAGTTAGTATACATATCATGTGTACTGAGGCACTGCGATCCTCCTTACACATGATATGTGAATTTGACACTTTACAAAACCGTTAACGTATATTTTACAACACAAACACAAAAACCAACTTAACCTTAAATATTTATAAAGCCGCCAACCACTAATGACTTCATTAATGTAAAAATAAACGTTCTCACTTACAAAAGTATTGCAACTCTTCCCATTGCTGTGCTTCACACAATAGTTCATATTCTTCAGTATCGCTGCTGTCGCTCCAATCGTCAGAGTCAAAATCACTGTCAAAATAAATGTTAGTAAGTTTTGACAAAGCTAATGAAACACGTTTACCGTTTGTATCGTATGCTTGTATAAACTTTCCATTCTTCATTCCTTCGTAAACGCTCAAACTAACTTTACCCTTTCTCCCTCGTATCTGATAGAATGTATTTTCACGAGGAACGAAGAACAAATTCTTGAACTCATGACCGTTGTAGTTTGTTATCTCAATAGTTTTCGTCATTTATATAAAAATAAAATAAAAATAAAATATAAAAATAAACTTAAAATTAATGATATCACCACCCTCACACGTATGAAAACATAGCGCAAAAATAAATTTAGGTGAAGTGGTGAAATCTCACCTCTTTTTTCACCTCTTTTTTCACCCGTTGAATTCATTGCTTTATAACTCTTTTCCTTGGTTTCTTTTTAGTTGCTTTCTTCACGTCTGTCTCCAGCTTGACTGTCTTTCTTCTTCGTCCGTAATGATACCAGTTACTTCCACCAGTCAATGGGTCAAATGATCTTTCGTAAGGGTTTCCATACATTCCATAGGGACCATACGGAAGAACTACTGGTGGAGGAAGAGTTCCATCGACTCTATTTAAATGCATTGTTTCACCTTTCATCTGGTCATTAAAGTCTTTTGCGTGTTTTGCAAACTCATCGTCCTTTCCTAAAGCATTTTCTGACTCAGTCGCAACCAAATTGGATGCTTTATTTATGAGTCCTATTTTATTTAATCTTAACTTCTTTGCAACCCAGCCTCCAATCTTTCCTTTATTTGCATCTAATGTCTTTGAAACCCTTCCTCCACTCATTTTATTTACTGCGTCATAAGCCCCAAGTGCTTTTGCTCCAAATGCTAATGCTTTTGTTCCCATTGCGCCTAAAGCTGCCCAAGCTACCATTTACACCATATTAAAATCATCTCTCTTCAATATTATCTCATAAAAGTTCTCGTTACTGGAGAAAGTCAATGAAACATAAACATTCTCACGGACTTCGTCCTCGCCGCGTTGCGGCTTCATAAACTTCTTTCTTATATCATCTATTCGCTTCAAAATGTCTGAACAATTGCTAACATCTTCTACAACAGTTATTTCATCATGAATGACCTTCAAGAACAAGCTCATTTAATATGCAATTAAAATCATCTCAATAATGAGTCCATCCTTTCCATCTTTAGGTAGCACAACATCTTTCATTGAAGAAGGTTCGACAAGTCTTATGTTAAACTTACTGACAAAGTTTGTTATACTATAATGCTTCGGCGGCGAATACATATAGTTTGAAAGACATAATATAGATTCTTCAGCAAATTCACTTATACTGGATTTTATAACAATGTTCTCACGAGACGAGAAATACCACCAATTGACAATCTTGTAAGCAATCCTGCTGAACCTTCAACTGTAAACGTCGATGGTAACATTCCACGAAGGTCATCTATTGACATCTTTGAGTCACTGTATTTAAATATTTTCTTAAAGCAATCGTCATTATCTAACCATGCAATAGCTTTGAAGTTTTCATTCGAATATACATCTGCTTCATTAAATGTAAAACCTGACTTCTTTGCAGAGATGACTTTAAAATCTATTGAGTTTGTTTCAAAATTATATGCTATGCTAACTTCTGAAGGTAATGGATGCCCTTCCGCAGTCAGTTGTTCTCTCACTACCGTTTGAAGCTTTGTGTTAAAAACTTTCATGTCATCTCCTGTGTCTAGGTTCACATACACAGCAACAGGAAAACTATCTTGCTTCTTTGTTTCATCATTATACCTCAAAACATTAAAGTTCTTCAATAATATTGTCCTTCCTGCTGGAATACTTCTAACTTGTCTTATTTCAATAGCTTTCTCACCTCCTACATACTCTACCCAGTGTCTTGGATATTCATAAGTATACTGACTTTCTTGAATTTTGGTTGGTTTCATCATAACGTGTTCATAGTATATCTTTATACTCTTGTCAGTTAGACTCGGTGCTATGTTCTGAATATTTCTGACTTGCATTTTTAATGGAGATAAAATGAAGCATTTAATACATGACGTAGATGAAGACATGAATGAAAGCAGTGAAAAGCTCAACAGTTCTCTCATTCTTCCTTTCAGTAAGGACTATGAGTTCTGTTCAAATGGCGTTTATTTCTATTGTGGAAAGATGGGGTCAGGTAAGACATTTAATTTAATTCGTCATATACTCATAACAGAGCGTTTAGGAAACGATTCATATTATGACCAAATCATTATATCAGCAACTTCAGACTCTATGGACTCAACAGCGAAAACATTTATGTCAAAAGTTCAAGCCTCTGTCGTTAAAGTTCCAGACAGTGAACTCATTGAATTTCTTCAACGTTACATTCGACGTAAGAGGAAATATTATGCCATCGTTGAATTTATACAGTCAGGAATGCAAAAGACTTCTGAGGAGATGGAAAGAATTATTGACAAACACCACTTACGTCAATACTCAGGAGTTTACGATATGAAACGACTGACAAACTACATTCTATCAAAACTTTCAAAATACCCCTTCAAAAAATATCCATCAAACACTTTATTAGTTTGTGATGATTTCGCTGGTAAAGGTTTAGTGTCAAAGCCTGACTCACCATTAGCTAACATCATTACTAAAGTCAGACATTACCACTTAACTGTAGCAATACTTATGCAAACATGGAGGTTTTTAGCTTTAAACATAAAACGTCTCATAACTGACTTCGTTATCTTTCAAGGTTTCTCACGTTATGATATTGAACTCATTTGGAAACAGTCAGGTATAACATTACCTTTTGAAGAAATTTGGGAAGCATATAAGTCTCTCATCTCTCCTCGTTCATACCTTGAGATTCATATCATGACTAATACCATTAAAGTCAAAAATATTCCATGGGAACGACCAACATTGTTTTAAAGTTTAACCTTCAATTGACTGATGGTAAACAAATTCCATGCATCTCTGTCGCCATTTCTGTTAATATTTTTGCTGTCATTCATATCATCCACTTCTCCATCCGTTAGCTTTTGAGGATATGCGTTAGAATAGCTGTTCTTAAATGAAGGCTTTTCACCTTTGAGAGCATAAACTCTATAACTTTCTGCATACTTTATGTTTGAACCTCCTGAGCCATCATTGACATAAATTTTTATAGGCTTCCACCCTTTGTTCATATTCCTGCTTCTTCCCTTAGCTCTTTTGTTCAGTAGTTCTACATCTTTATACACAGCACCTGTCTCAGTGAATTCAACAATATTTTCATTCGTTAGCTTTACATTCAAACCCTTGTCGAGTATATTGTTCATTTCATACATATAAAAGGTTTTTATTCTATATGAAATGAGAAGCAAATCCATCTTAGCTGGTGCCGTTAATGTTCCAATTGAACCAACATCAAATGTTGACTCACGAACGACAAACAATATTGTCATAAAGAACTATAGTTCAGAGTGTTTGAAAGAAAAAGAACCAGAACTGAAATCCGTGAATTTAAACTCAGCTTCAAACGCTAACGCTACATCAGATGTTAAGTTAGAGTATCCACCACTGGACCAAATTCTTTCAAGAGAAGCCAACGACAATCCTTACATAAATGTTCAAACAAATCCTTCAGATAACGTAGACCATTACCTTCTTCAGTTATACCAAACA